ACACACACACACACACACACACACTTTTAAGCAATAATAATTGCACAAATCATCATGCAAAGACATCAACCGTTTAAACAAGTTCAGGGCTGGTCAGCCTCTCACCTTTAACATGCAACTTACAAGTGGAAACTGCAACATGCTGATTAGCATTTTTCTCTCTGGCTAGCTGATTCATTTAGACATTGCTCTCCAAAGCTGTCTAACATACCACTGTATGTGATTGAATAGATAATAAACTGGCCTGCATTATTTTAACAGTGACAACAACAGTAAGTACTCATTCATTCACAGTGATCAAATTAAATTTGAGTTTCACTATAAACAACTCAAGCAAAACTTTTCTCACAAGTGTCACACAGATAGGTAACGGCAACAAATATTAGGACAATTGTTGCAAAGTGGCTTAAAAGCTGGGCTTTAAGCAGTGGCTTCCAAACAACACTCCTTTGGCATAACTAAGCTCAGAATGTGACACCAATCTGCTTTGCTTCATTGTGCTTCCTCAGTGTACACAGAGGCTTTACAGGACTTAAGCTAGAGAGGTTAAACCCAATGATATTTGGTGGTCTTCTGAGAGAACTAACAGTGGTGTGAAAACACACATTCTTTGACAGATATAGTCCGTGTACATTTTTTGGCTGAATAGTCCTGATTTAACTGATAGACAGATTAATTCATCAACCATTACAGTGACATATTTTAATTAACTTAAATAATTCTGTATTTATTTATTACTGAGTTATTATAATAAAAACAAATGCAGATACCAACGCACTCCGCCATAAAAGTAGTAGCAGAAAAAAAAAACAAAAAACAAAGCTATGAGCAAAAGTGATTATTTAAGGTTGTCCGTAAATAGACATGCCATCATGTTCAGCAGACTGACTGTGGCGGCTGGCTAGGGACCGTCTTTCAAAAGACATTAAGACAGAGTGACGCTGCCAGAGCTGTCATTGAGTCGACTCAGTGAGACAAATGATAATGATAACGTTCAATGCACATGTATTATGTGCATTTTTTTTCTTCTGTAATAATTTTTTATAACACAAGTACAAGCCTATTGGTTATGCCATTCATTCTCCTGTAAGCATTCGTCGCATGTAAGACTTTAAGCATATGCGAACACCGCCGATGACTAGACTTTAAGTTAATATTTTTACGTTTTATTTGTATATTTTACAACTTAAAAAATACACGGGGGTGTGGAAAAAACACGTTTGAGAAAACGTAACAAGTTAAACTTGTAGCTGCAAGCACAGCGCCCACCATGAGTGTACAGTAAAGAAATTTATCGACGGTTCCTAAGCAAACGTCACCGCATTTGCTAAGAGGAGAGGAGACATTGTGCCTCACTGCCGCGCACAACCAATTTCGGAAAACACGGTGACTGAGCGTACGGTCTTCATTCGCCGAGATCGTGTCTGTAGCGTATCCAGCTTCAGAATTTCTATGCCGAAGCGCTACGCAAATACGGCAGATAGTAAATTGTGTCGAAACTGATTAAGTAGGACTAAAAGAAACTTGAAATTTCGCCGACAGTCAACGTTTTGCAGGCATGTAGGCGCTGTCTCTCTCTCGCTGGCTGTAGCCCTGCCGTATCCCCTCCCCCTCTCTCCCAAACACCGAGCTTGTAAGGCTATCGGTTTTCGGTGAGCTGACCGCTTTCGCTAGTCAGATGGCTGACGTTGACTTCAGTTCTAGCTTCAAAGTTATGTGGAAAGCAAGTTACCCTCTGCTTCGTGCAGACTGACAGTTAAATGTTAGAGAAAAAACCGGAACATATCAGTTTGTCATAGCCGGGTCTTCGTTAACAGCCCTCAGTAAACGGGAGTCTAAGTAAAACATTAGACGAGCAAAACATACTGGCTACCTGACGTTACCCTTGCCGTTGGGTAGAAGACGTCGAAAAGAAAACAGCCATGCCTAATCGCATCAGATAACGCGGCAACACAGTCGGTGGCTTAGTTTGTAGCGTACGGGGTACCGGTACAATTGGGGCAGTTGAATTAAGTTTTATGGTCAGTAATTAATTTGGCTATGCTAGGTGGTTAGCTCAAGAAGAACACCAGCTAGCCAACGAGCTAACACTTCGCACAGCTAATGCAAATGTCGCATAAACGGCAAGTTAAGCTAGAAGTTGCAAAAATGATTTTTTTTCCTCCCAGCCAAAACTACTTATCTGTCAGTTACGTTACTTTGACATCAACCCCGATCCAGCAATAAAAATCAGTTGTGGCAAGAACAAACTGTGATCAAAAATACATGTTGTCAGGTTAGCCTGTAAGCTAGTTCATGGTCGCCGCTCTTAGATTGCTAACCTAACCAGCGACTTGGTTCCACTGACTTGTCGACACTGCAAGTCAACGCAACCGCAAATAAACTCCCACACTATTCTGCTATAACACTAAACTACACCAGCAACAGAAAGTAATCTGCGTTGGCTCACTATTTGGAGACTAGACAAGGTTATTTAGTAGCTAACTGATTGCTATGTTAGCACAACAACCAACCCCCCTCATCACTACAGACTCTCCGGCTAGCCAGCTAACACCACTTTAACTTACCTCGGGGAACCGCCACCAGCAACAACTTGACCCACCAGTGGAAGGGATCTCGACCAACACGCCGCTACTCGTGCATTCACCCGACGGTGAAAAAAAACGAAGTTTTAAGAAGTAGCCGTAATTGGAAATGTGGAAAATCAAACTGGCCGTAGTGGCTACGTCGCTAACAACAGTGTGTGTGTGAAGTGGTGTTCCTTGAACATAGAGGTGTGTCTATTGGGAAGGGCGGGCTGGTCTCCTCCCAGTTTGAACCGGGATTGGTCAGCACTACAGAATGAAAACAAATACAGTTAAGGCTGTGGGCCAGGCCTGTACCATAGCTTTGGTTAAAGGCGTCTATGGTCATGCCAAGTGCAGGGTCATCAGCATGCCATGGAAGGAATTACGTGTACGGCACAATATACTGAATTCAACAGATAAACTCAGTAACTTTCTTGTCAGTTACAATGACTAACTACACAGTTAGTGCATTTAATAAGTATTTATTTGCACTGATATTTAGGGTTGTATATGTATTATTCTACAACTGATTCTGATATGATGACACCACACATGTGTTGATAAAATAAGATATGGCTAGTAAGTGTACCTTAGAGCTAAATAATTTAATTGCACACACTGATCTCCAAGGCTGAGGACATATTTACATACTCACAATTAAAATACCTGTATAACCCTCGTTCTTGCTGTTCTCTGCCTCATTGTTAAAACCACCCTGGAGATTTTTCTAATACCACTGATCTTATTATTAGACCTAGGACTTGGATTAGTGCTCCTAGAAAAAAATATTTTTCTATTTTTCTTTGGCATCAGTAGAGATTGATTAAGGGGGAAAAAAGTGGCTTCTTTTCACAAAATCTCCTACAACAGCTAGGAAATCGATCCAATACCAGTACAACTTTCATCAAATAATAATTCATGCTTTATTCATATTGGCCTTTGCAAACAAACACAGTTGAAGGGCCTTATAAGAGATTAATAAAATAGAACTGTAAAAAGGAAAACTTATTAGAAACAGATCAAAGCGGTTAATAATAATAACTACTTAGCAAGATATTTATGTTATTCTAAAAACAATACACATACAATTTTAATTTTTATATCTGAAGTAAAGATGGATACACTTTAGATAATGATAAGCTCAAGTTCTTTTTCTTAAACAGGTTTTTGTTGGACTATGAAAAAAATACATAAAGTAGATCTTAAAGTGCCAGTTAACCAGAATTTTAAAAGTTTTACTCATGGTGAAGAAGACATTTTATCCACAATGGTCCTGATTTGTAAAACAAACAAATTGCTGTGTCGATGAAGGTCATATAAATCCACCATTTTACTAGTAAAGTGTAATACAGCAGTTTAACATTTTTAATATTGCATCCTAAGTATTTCTTACCATCTTATAACTATGAAAGGGATAGAGGAATTAAGAAAATTCTATGCAATTCTATTTCTTTTCCCTTTGACAGTATTTTGTGTGATCTTACTTTAATGTGGGAATCTGAAACAGCTCAAAATACACACTGGAATCATTTGTGTGATTCTATCTCTAAATGTCCAAAGGAAACGAATGAGGTGCTCCCTAAGGTGACAGATAACTCCAGATGCAGGATCAGCAAAGGAGCATTTTCTGAAGAAATATGCTGAAAGTTGTCAAAATCACTCCTGTTGCCAGAGATGAGGCCTGATATGGAGCTGCAGTGGAAGAGAGATGAGGTCAGTGAGTTAAGTTTACAGTTAACACTGTGCACTTATTAACATTTAAACCTTAAAAGCAAGATTATATAATTGAATATGGTAATATTTTACACATTTGCCTAACAAGTGAAAGATCACCAGTTTGACACTGGGAAGGGATACAAATCTCTTTGGGACTCCTTTAAGAAGGTAGAGAGGGGCGGCTCAATCAAAAATATTGATAGTATCGATTCCAACACCTGTATCGGTGTAAGGTTGACACTAGTGTGATAGGATCGATACTTTGTTTCTATCCTTCAAGTTCAGTATGCAGTCCACTGAACTGTTTTATGGAAATGAAAAAATGTACATCAAACATGCACTATGAAAAACTTTAAAATCTTTTTATGTTGACTCTCACACTTTTTTTATTTAGAGCCTGTAGCACATTTAAACAACAGAAGTTGACCCAAAGTACTTCAGACACAGGAACATTTACATTTTCTTAATTAAATTTATTAAAAACGATGGAAATGTTAAAAGTTGACCAACGCTTAATTAAATGTATAATTTGCATAGCCTGTAAAGCACTTTTGTCATCTTTGACTTGAGTGTGACCTACATGTTTTCATTTGCTTATATTTAGGCACCTGGCCAGGAATGAATAAGCCAGTGGCCCTGAAATAAGACACTGCTCATTACTTTCCTGAAAATCAAAACCACTGTTGCAGGAAACCTAAAAGGTTAAAACTGACTTTTATTGTCATTAATATTGTCTTTTACATTTTAGTGAATTAATGTTTAAAAACAGAGGAGAGGTTAAGTCTTGTTTAAAATAAATTGTCTTACCACTTCCTGCGGTAGTAGTTGCAGCTGTAACAGCTGGAGTTGCTGATGTACTTGCAGTATTGGTTGTGATACTGGTTGCAGTAGTTGCAGCTGTAACAGC